GTGAGAGATAGAGCCAAACGGACAAAATTTTCGCCCGAAGGGCTCTACTTTCACGAAATACCCCTTAGAGGCCCACAAAAAAAAATTCCACTTCTTGGACCAACCACTATTTCTTTGTTACCCCCTCAGACCCACTCAGGGGTGGTTGCCAGGATTTGCGCCAACCGTTTCGTTGACCAGAAGTGACAACAATAATACCCTGAAAATTTCAAACCTCTAGCTCACGTCCTTCTTGGGAAACGGACAGACAACACAGAGGCGATGGCATAAGCCCGCTTATATAGCTTTTAAGCAAAAGAGCGGGCTAAAAATAGCGTGTCTCCAAGTTCTGCATCTGCTTCGCATTTATAATTGTTGGAGAGATGGTTTATTCGACTGTACAGTCAATAATAACGTAGGGCCCCGTGCGTTAACATTATGCACGGGGTAGCTGAGCGAAGTGCATTAATATAACAGAAGACGTAACAAATATAGAACAACTATAATGAATGAGGGTCCGCCTAGAAGGTAGGCAACCGATTCTGCCCCTTGAACGTGAGAGATGGGGGGAGGGACCAGCCGGACCTTAAACCACGGCCTGGTCTGGTTGGGTCGCTGTTTTCAACTAGAGTTCAAATCCCTTGCACCTCTCTCTCTCTACAACAGGTACTTTTAGTGAGTAGTGAACTTGATTAATTACTATGCAATATAATAGATTTGGAAGTCCACTAGAAAAGCTTGATACTGGGAAGTCTGGTTTCTATTCATCAAAATACATGGTTGATTTGTTTTGGTAAACACACAACTGTAACAGTGGCTGGATAAAGAGGGGGGGGGGGGGGCTTAAATTTATGCGTTCCTGAAGTTCACATACAGAACATGTCTGCTACTGTCCCTTCCTATCCCCACTGCCCTCCCCCTACTCAATTTACCCTTTTCTGTAATGCCACATGATGCTTGATGCTCCCATTTCATTCAATTCATTTTATTTGTGAAAGGTGAAATTCTATTCGGTTGCCTCTGGTTGAAGTGAAATAAAATACCCTAATATTTAATATAATTTCAAAATACATTTAAACTTCTCACCTACGACAAGTATAACTTGTCGCTCTTTTATTCATTTTTATCAGATCTCTCCGAAGCATTTGAAGGATCACGACTCGCTGAAGTATATTTAATTTAAGTTCTATAATGTATCGTATAATAGAGTTTAATTTAAATGCTCCCACCATTTTATTGGATATCATTAAACATATTGTGACTCCAGACAAAGCTAGTCAATTTAAGAAAGTGATGTACCTTGTTCTGATTTTGATGGGCCTACTATCCTACCTGAGTTAACGATATTGGCTAAAATATTGTTCGGTCCCTTGCAAGTCCATGGCTATTGTGAAAATGAGTTTTGTGTTTAACAATCGTTTTGACAAGTCCTATTGAAAGATTAGGTGACTTCCAATCATTCCACAAGTAAACACCATTCCTTTTTGTTAAAATAACCAAATTGAAAATTAGGATTTTTTTAGAAGTTACAAAATTAAAAGTGTAATACAAGATTTGGATTCCTTTTTCGGAACTAAAAAGGAAATGTCTTATGCTCAGAGCCGATCAGAGTCGAAATGGAGAAATTATTAGCCCTCAAATAACGATGGGCGGATTGCCATGGCCAAATTGGTCCAAATTGAACGTTCGAGGGGTGCATTTTGTTCGTTTCGGCGAGATACAACCCTTGAACCATGCGGGTTACGGGCGAAAACTGCCGTCAGAATTGACCTCCGACGCACCGTTTGGCCGCTATGGGTGATTGAACACTTTATTGAACATTTGAACATAACTCTGCTATTTCGATTCCGATCGTCTTGGAGCATAAAACTATTTCGTTTTCTTTTGTCAAGATGAACTCGAATCAATAGTTACCTTTTTACATTTCTCCCGAACCACTACCCCCTTCCCCCCTCCAACTTACGTAAGTAAACACGTAAACCATTCAAAATATCACTTTCGTTTCTTCTCACCGGACACTCGCGAAACTTCGTAGGTCCAGTTCCGCAACTCTAAAACTAAAAATTTCACACTCGGTTTGACCATTTGACATTATGATCACGTGTGAGAAAATCATAAAGTCTCGAAGTGGGTGCAAGGAGCCATTTGCGTGTTCGCGCTCTTTTCTACTCAGTGTAGCCACCACCGAAACAACAACATCTGAAGCTCCCTCCGGTGAAAATAGGACCAAATATTTCAAATTAGTCCGTAGCGAACGAAAAGGGGAGACTGGGTCTCCCTTAAATTATAGATGTTAAGGCAAACTCGCATTCCGTCATAGGTGCAGCCGTTTTCGAGGAAAAGAGGAACGCAGACACGGACAGACAGACAGACTCACAACCGAGACAACGCCTGACCCCTCAGCAACTTGGACTGAGCTTCGCTCAGCGATAATTCCTATAAGTAGGCTTGAAATGTTTTGTAACTACTAAAGCCTATGATTCGATTCGGATTTGAACTTGGGATATTCGATTCGAAGGGAAAAAAGTATGTTCGATTCGATTCCAAGGAGAAAAAAAATAATTCGATTCGATTCGATTTGACTTTCAAAAAGGTCAGTTCGCACACCTCTAGCTGGGCGCCTACGAGCGGAGCGCGCCGCGAGCGCTTTCACGCGGTGGCGCTCCTGGGCCGTTCATTGCACAAGTGGGGAGAAAATGGCTACTGAAAGTAAAAAAGTTCAAGCTTTCCGACGGTAGGGGTAATACGCAGCATATATTTGAAGTACTCTGGACCAATTTTTAATTGCAAATAATGTGGCTTTTGTTGTGGGTTATCATTAAAATGGGGCCGCATATGGGAATATTCCACTTTGGGGCCGTGGAATATTCCATGGAATATTCCCAAATTCCAGGAATATTCCCAGGAATATTCCTGCCCTGGGAACTATAGGCCCTACTTTGTATCAGATGTGAAGGATCTGAGCTCCGGACACACGGGGCGAGTCCAGGGGCCTAAACTTGCGCCCGACGTCACTCGCCAGTTACAGAAAATAATGCTGACGTAGCCCTAACTTTTTATTGCATGAAAACCGAGGACACACTGAGACCTTTCAGAAACAGTAATGTCTGCGGGGTAGCGGTTACGCATTCACAAGAAAAAGTTTGAAAAACAGGTATTTGCGCCTGTGGTGACGTCACTTAGCCTGCCCGCACTACACACCTGTAGTGCACAGTAGGCCTAGCCTGGTACACGGCCGTTTTCGACTTTTTTTTGCCTTTTGCATTTACCGCCTCACCGCTACCCCGCAGACATTACTGATTCTGAAAGGTCTCAGTGTGCCCTCGGTTTTCATGCAATAAAAAGTTAGGGCTACGTCAGCATAATTTTCAGTTAATGGCGAGTGTCGTCGGGCGCATGCTTAGGCCCCTAGACACGTCGCGTGTGTCGGGAGCACGGATCCTTCATACCTGATACAAAGTAGGACCCATAGGCTTACACTTGCAGCACGAGTCGTTCGCCACGGTCCCACCGTGAGCGCAGTGCAGCGCCTGCAAGGTGGTCTGCCTTTTTGGCGCCAAGGTTGGGTCATAACGAAAATGGCAATGCGATCCGGATAAACGTTGTTGCACAGGCCCTGGACTTAGCACAGGGTCTCCCTTAGGTTTAGGCCCCGCACCTCCGAAATCCACGATTTCGACCCATGAAATGGAATGGGCTAGCACATTGGCCGTGAAGCGGAATAAGGACGTCAACTAACTCTCCGTGGCCTTTAATTGATCTGTGGTCCCGTCTGTACAAACATTCAGTAATTTGGACTCACCTTAATTAATTTCATACCCCTTTTTACTACATAACGGGTTACTGCCAGGATTTGCACCAGGCGTTTGGGTGTCTAGGAGTGCCTTAAAAGACAAATTAAAAATTGCAGGTCTCTAGCTCAAGTCCTTCTTGTGAAACAGACAGATGGGATGACAGACAGGTAGACTGACCGCGAGCATGGTTTAGAGCAAACGGTTAATAAGAAACAGTCGACCAAAGCTTTTTCAGAATCAAGGCAAAATTGGCTGATGGACTCCGAGAAACGAAGTATTCCCTTTCTTTTCTCCACGTCAAAACTGTACATAACGAGAAACACATACCGTAGTTCTCATTTTCTCACAGTGAAGGGCACAACTGATACCAGAATCCGTGGTTGGGACGATAGCCACATGTGTGGGAGACATGCACAAAAAAATGCGTCCATGTAGTAGGTCAATTCGTTCTGCCGCAATCGGGCCCGCCGTCGTTTCCTGCTGTGTTGCGCGCGTTGCATCTACGCGCCAGTGAGTTCTGGACAAACGCCCTATAGGGGTTTTGTAGGTGAAAGTAGTATATATATTCAGTAGTACATTCTGTGTTGCCCCAAAAGAAATGGTTTCTGTACAAAAAATAAAATAAAAACACTAACAGTCCTGTTCTTAGCCCGGTACACTTAGGATCCCCCCTCAATCTAGCGTTCTTAATGATGCACAGTGAGAAAAACTTCAGCAAAACGGGAAAGGTGACGGGACATCTTTCACATGATACCTTGAAACAGTTTATATTTAACGTTACATTGATTAGTAATATCAAGGTGTCAGCTAGCAGCTTTAACTCTCGATTGGGTAAGAGAAGAAGAAAATTAATAGGGCAGAGACCTAGCGCAAACCGGCAAACACAAACAACATTATCAACATTATTGGGCGCTGAAGGAACGGCTGTCGCACTGAAGTCGCTTTGCTTTCGCGTTACTCCCTCCCGCCGACAATACTGCGCCAGGCAAGGCAGGACCTGTCTCTTCCCAACAATATCGGAATACCAGCGCCGGCCGCTCTGCCCGCCCTTATCTTCTACTCTACGTAGCTAAATATAAAAGAAAATTAGAACACTGACCTTTTTTTTTAAAAAAATCTT